GCGAAACCTCTGGGAATGTACCACTTCCACGGTCCTACTCTGGAAATGATCATGCATACAATGGACTCCAGATTTGGTGCGTTTCTCTAAGTATTCCTACCAATATGACCAAGTTGCGAAAACAAGGTCAAACAACTTCTATACAACGAATGGAGACTGCGACTACACAAAGGCCACACCATCTTGGTCTTCATATCTTCGAGGAATTACTTATGCTTGATTGATAGATTGAAAGAGAGAGAGAGTTTTGAGCCGCCGTCAAAAAGAAGGCGCGTCAATTTTTCTGCTCAGTGATGGTTCTAACTTCACTCACACTCGTCTAACATGTTAGATTCTGCTCATCAACCAAACCAGACGTGCCAAATTACGCAGCCTAGTGTTAACGAAAGCCAGCTCTGATGATGTCTATCATATGATTGACGAAACCTCAGCACGTTTTCACCCAAAACGAGGAAGGAAGTCCCATGGACTTCGTAAACATGAATATCATATGAAATCCAAACGGCTACAGTACAACGAAATTCATCCGTCCTCATCTGGTGAGATCGACCAACGAATTTCTTTATGCACTTTCATACGAAATGAAGGTCCCCATAACAAAGGAAGATTGTATTAGACTTATGGTTATCACTTTGTACCTCTCTTATAGGATGCAATTCATTGGAGTCAAAACCCATTCTTTAGCTAAAATAATCAAAGATTTAACCAAAAATGATGGCTTTATATATTACCGTAGTTTAATTGAATATATGAAGACCAAGATGTTGTGTCCTCTGGTATGGTCGCAATCTCATTTTGATTTGTGGAAGTGGGTTGACCTCGTCGCAACTTGGTCTTGTCAGAGCGACCTTAGAACGCACCTAGTCCGAAGTCATCTGCCATAGTAGTTGTCATGATTCCCAGCATTTGACAGTGGGCTTGATACATTCTCAAACGTTTCGCCGGCATCGTAGTCGGCATCATCAGCGAGGTTTGCCATTCTCCGCACCAAGCTACGAACTCGTCAAAGAGACAAGTGAAGTCAATCCCTCGACAACCTTTCTGCCGAAAATGGTTGCACTATCACTCCTCTATCATTGCCTATCTATCTACTCTTTACACTCTTATCCCACTGTCGCCTTATCACAACTTCTCACTTGTTTACATTCCACTCGACAAAATGTGTGCCCTTATGTGACAATCCTAGTGTGGCCTCATCACACTTGCTATTTACCCGACTTCTCGATGGGCTTGTCCGACTCGGGCCTCCAATCCAGATCCATTCATTGTCTCGTAGATCGATTCCTTATCTTTCTGGTTGACCGATTTCACTCGGTGTGCATTTCACTCCTGGCGCTATTTCTCAAGGCCATAGAAGCTCGTACACTGCCGCTTCACTGAGCGGAGCGCTTAAGCTCTGATTCCCATGCTTGAGATATCAGGCCTCCCTTCACAGTTCCTCTCCTTGATTAAACCCATGTTATCTGAGCAAAGTGTGGACGCCTATCTCTGGTCGCATGCGACATCTCAAGTGGATTTCTAGTGCATTTTGGCCAGAACGCCTAATTTCTAGGACAGTTTGCTTATCCGTCTGCCCAGCTCCTTGACTGCCAGGCCCCAAAAGTTGTACTGGTTCATTCAAAATGGACATCACTCACCGACAACGTCTTCACTTAATTGCCGAAAACCCCTCCCACCCACTTTCGTCATCGCAATCCCTTTTCATCCGGTTAGCGGCAGATCCTTGATCCCGGCGTCTCCTTTTTCCTAGTATTGCTCTATTGTTTTCCCCGATTTTGCTTAGGCAGAAGGCAAAGTTGTCGCTAACTCTACCTTCCTCGAGTCTCCTGTTCATTAAATTTGTCTGCCCAAGGATGTCAATGGCCTCCCTAATCTTCCGCTCCCTTTTGTTGTCACCAATGCGACCCTTCTTTCTGCTGCTTTCCAATTGATCTCGTGTACAGTCTGTGTGATGTGTTCCGCTAATTTTGATCTTTCGGTATGTATTTTCTTGCAGAGCCTCTGATGTTCCTTGATTCGTGTG